CTTTCCCAGCTTTGGCATTTGAATGGCAAGGAAAATATACAATCTGTTCTTTATACACTAAGACCCCAACCTTACAACTGCTACCTGGGTAGACCCCCATTCATTTGCAGGATTAGTATATAAATATATTTGTTCAGGGATATTGTGGGGGGCGTTGCTTTGTGTGTGTTTTATTGCTTCTCTCAGTTTTATATATTTAGCTTGTAATGCTTTGAAGTATGGAAGTATTTCCATAGGTCATAACCTTTTTCCTTTAAGGTTGATTTACAAAAATCTATAATTTGAGCCAAATCTTAAATTTACTGTAGTCTTATAAACACTATGCTTTCTTTTCTGTTTAATTTGATGCATTTTTTATTTTGTAGGACTCCTTTGCATCTGGCATGTGCAAATGGACATCTAGATATTGTTTCCTATTTAATTGAGAACAAGTGCAAGCTAAATCTCTGTGACAACGATAGCAGGTCACCATTAATGAAGGTATGTAGAATACTTGTTATGATTGTGCCAGATGTATCAGTATTAATTTCTAGTTAGTTACAAGATATATATTATTTAATATAGGAACATAAGTTGGTGTTAGCCTTTGTGTAAAATATGATACTTAATATGTTTAAAATCATCTTCCTTATTTTCAAATTTTATGTTACTTGTAGTAATTCTATTTAAGGTAAAATTTAACTTCTAGAATGTATTACCTCTTTTTGTGTTATATTTCCAGGCAGTACAATGCCAACAAGAAAAATGTGCAACTCTGCTGCTAGAACGTGGCGCAGACCCTAATCTTTATGATGCTAACTGCAACACGGCCCTTCACTTTGCTGCCTGTATTCCTAATATATCTCTAGCAATAGAGTTACTTGAGCATGATGCTGATATTGATGCACAAAATAAGGTAACTTTACTTTCAGAAAAACAGAATTTCAAACATTATATATTTTAAGTTCAGTTTTGGAAGGGGTGCATCCTCATACAAAAACATTGTTCTCATTTTTGGGTTTTTTAGATTTTCAAAGGAGATTCTCTTTTAAAATTCCTAAAGCTAAGAAACTTGATGGTTGCATTATCACAGCTATAAGTTTACTTTTAAAAAAAGATTATATTAGTGAAGCAGCACTTGTGACAAACGGGTATGGTCCAACTGAGAGACCCTCTGGTTTTATCATGAAACCTACATAGCATTTCACAAGTGTATTGGCCTTTAAGACGTTGCCAGCATGTTTTTTAAGGGTGACACTTGGCAGCAGTACTGTTGCCAGCAATACGAAGAAGGAGGAAAAAGAACTGAGGCCAGATTTACATGTAGGAAGGTTTTCCTACTACAGGTATACTGGGGTAACATAACAGCTCCATGAGGAATTTGTAGTGTTGCCCTGGCCTAATAACGGAACCCTCTGCAGTTTTTTTCATAGAGCTGTATTTGTGCATAGCCCCAGAAATTTGCCTGCCATGCTTTTCCAGTATTCAGATGCTTGAAGCTTCAGGATCCTGGATGATATCAGCAGTTCCAGACTTTGTAAACAGGGTTATGGAATTAGGAGTTGAATCGATTAAAATAAATGATAAACCAGGAGTCGGCAACATTTTTGGGAAGAGTGCCAAAAAACCCCACAACTTCAATTTGTAAGATGTTGGTGCGTCAGGGGTGAATGACAGGGAAGCCACAAGTTGGCCAATCCTTGTCTTAGCACATATTTGGCCCCTAACCTGCCATCTTCCCCAAGGCGCACATGCCAAGCAAAATGCCTTCACGTGTCATGCTCTGGCACCTGTTCCAGGGGTTGCCTGCCTCTGTGATAGATTGTCATCAGCAACCATTTGGCAATTCTGATTGGCAAAGAAATCAGAGTAAATGATACAAAATTAATCAATGAACTTCCCCCCCCACTCCTCCCTAGTCTCTACCTTTGAACTGTAGTTGAAAGTCTTTGGAGACCTTTTCAAGAACCCTAGTAGCTTCCCACCCACTGTGGGGCAGACACCCTAGTAAAACCAAGGCTTATGGCTATGGAGAGTAAGCCTCTCATCTACAGGAGTGGAGATAGTGGGGAGAATTGTGTAACCTCCTTTTTGAGAAAGATGTAATTGTATTTGGTTGAGAGGCCATGACCTGTGAACTGAATTTGAGAATAAAAAATGAAGTAAACTGTGTGAGCATGAGTAATTTGCAACCTAGTAATACTGTGTAGATGTTGATCAAAATTAATGCTAGGTGATTGGAGCAGGTGAAAGGATATGGATGTGTAGAGAAGCAAAGTATATGAGAGTTGAGTCTTGCTGGTTTCTGATCTCAGCCTAACCTAGGGTAGCATTGGAATTGAGGTTTTGAATCTTGTGTGTTGTAGGAGAATTCTGAGAATCCAGAGATGTGAAAAATGACATATTCCTTCTCTTTTCACTCTAATTTGAATAAGAGTTTAGTGATTGACTCTCATGTTACAACTATGCATTGACAGCTGTATGGTTGGTTGTAGCCATGTTGGTCTAAGGACATAGGCAGACAAGGTTCTTTGGGTAAATGTGATATTTTTTTATTAGATCAACTAAGTAGTTTTAAAAATTGTTCTTTGCAAGCTTTTGGGCATAAACACCCTTCTTCAGGCATTGGGAAAGTCTGCTGGTGAAGACATAACACTAGCAGACTCTTCCCTGTGCCTGAAGAAGGGTATTTGTGCTCAAAAGCTTGCAAAGAACAATTTTTTCAACTGTTTGGTTGGTCTAATAAAAGATATCACATTTACCCCGAGAACCTTGTCTGCCATTGACAGCTGTCTAATTTTAAGTGAAAAATAGTACTACCTACCACCTTTGTTTTGTTGTCAGTCTCACCATAAATGACATAGATTAAGATGGTTTTAGAAGCAGATCCCATTTATCATTTTTAACCCTACAGATAGTTTCTCCGGGTCAAAATAAAACATTTTACATCAGTATGGGGAAGTTTGTGCTACTGTGGCCTGTGCTATATCTGTTACAGTTTAAGTTGCATATAGTGGGTTCATGGGACAAGGTGAAAATTGCCTGACATATAAGGGGGACTGTAGTGGCTTTGGGTTTAACTAGTTCAGTCAGTCCTTTGCAGGCTCACAGCCTCTGATTATTGTCTCTACTCACCCAGAGCAAGCTCCCTCCTGGCAGGAGTAGTCAATATAAGTACTGGTCACTGTGCAAACAAACGTGGTCTCTTTCCATATTACTGACAGTGCCTGGTACTGGCCATTTCATTCAGCATTCCCTTTTAAAAAAATCAACCTCTTCAAATATGTATATTAAGCAATTTTTTAAAAATAGGTGAGTGTATATATGTGTGTTATATATCAATCTATCAAAACTCATTGATTTATTTTCATAGGATGGGTACACACCTCTTACCTTGGCTATAACTGAAAATCATCAAGGGATGGTAGAGTTTCTTCTTCAAAAAGGAGCAGATGTACATGCTGTAGATAAGTCTAAGAGGTAAAGTATGTTGCACTCTTACCCAGAACTATGGATGCTACTTAAATATAAATAATACAATTCCAGATCCTTTCCTGCAGCTGATCTTCCTAAAGTACAGCTCTGAAAAGGTGGCTTAAAACTTCCAACCCTCACCAAGAATCATTGTAGTGTAGGACTGACATGTTCCCACATGCTTTCATTTGATTCTGGCTACTTTATCATTCCAGAAGAGATGTTATCATGTAAGAGACCCTATAGTATTAAAGGAATTGCCTCTGAGCTATTCTGACTTAGCTGTACAAGATTTCATTGCTAGCATGGCCCAAAGTGAGGAATGAGTCCCTAATTGTTGTGTTAGAATCTGAATTTGAGTCTAATCACTACAAATGCATTTCTAAAAAGCTCAGTTTTCCATTTCCTAACCTAGGCTTATTATAATGAGAGTGTGTTCATCTGAATAGTGAGTTCAGATTATAGTACATTCCACTTTATAGTATTAAGTGACACCCTTAGACACTTTCCTGGTCTCCAGTAAGTAGAAGCCCATCTCAGTTATGATGGTTTGAATGTATTTTACTACACAGTAGGTGCCTGTACACAAGTGGGGAGGCTGCTCCCCCCCATCCTTGGATCATGTGTAAAAGTGCCTAGTGGGTGCATCTACATAAGCATTAATGCACTTTACTTAATGTACATTATATCTAGTACCTCCGGGCACTTTTAAATCTGCTCCAGCGGTGGGGGAGGCGGCACTTAAATTAGAGAGGCTCCAAGACCCACTCCAATTAAAGCACCGCAGTGTCTTGTGTATCAGCACCTCTGTGCTTCAAAATGGCAGCAGGGACATTTGAACTAATGCTTGTTTGACGAGCTTTAGTTTAAGCACCCCCATTGCCATTTTGAAGCACGGGGACACTGATACACGAGACGTTAGAGGTTGCCGGAGTGTGGTAATTACCACACTCCAGCAGACTCGATTAATCGAGTCGGCTCTGACACGCTGTAATTACAGCACATCGGATTAGCCTCTGCACTTGCGTACAGTCACCTTCCACTATGAGGTACTAGATAAATGTGCATTAGCCTGGCTTAATGCACTAATGCTGCATTAGTTATGCTGTAGTTGGCTGCTCCAACTAAGGCGAACTCTTTTTAAGTGACACTTAATACACATTAGCTTATTTTAATGCATGGTAAGTAAAAAGCCCTTTTTTACATGACATTTTAATGCTTATTAAAATAGGCTAATGCTCATTAAAGAACACATGTAGACACACCCTGTAATGTATAGGAAAGCAGGACTTTATTCTTGCAACAACATCTGTACCTTAAAGTTTACTATGCTTTTCTTTAATAGACATGTTTCAGTTCCCTAATGAAATTTTATTTTCACCAGTTCACTAGTGATCATCTGCCTAAAAGAGATTTAATTTGTACAGTGTAAAACCAGATACATTTGACTGCTGGAGGGTTTCCTTGACATCAGGTCTATGGCTGACTGTCTCTCACTTCAAGTACTAGTTACAGTCAAGCTTCTCTGATAAATTTAATTTCTCTTGTATGGCTATGATCTTATTTGTACATGGGTGTAGAAACAGTCTGTGATTTGCTGTATATGTCCTCAGTAGTGCAGATTTTGTGATTGAGAAAGAGCTTCCTGATTCCTTTGTAGGAAGTTGTTTGCTTAAAGCCATGTTCAGCTTGAGTGAAAAAAGATTTTTTTTTCCCCTCTTAGATTAAATTGTGGTGACATTTCACTTGTTAGTTCTGTTTAATTGCATAATTGAAAATGAATAAAGCCAATTCCCTTAGTATTCTTGTAACTCTAATTAGGGGAAAGAGGTGATACAGTTCAAGTTATTAATTAATTAGCCAAATAAATGTACTCACTTCACACTGACTTCTAGAAGCTGAGCTATTCTCTGTATATTTGGTGTCTTCATCTTTCTGCAGTAGTTCTGTTTCCTGCATAAGGAATTTTAGGAAAGAATTCCCACTCATAGTATCACAGTGGTAGGGGCCCTACTATTGACAACAGTAAGTCACGTGCATTAGAGTAAGGTAAAATTCCATTGGTTAGTCATA